GTTTAGGAGAAAAAAAGGTGCTTGATGCTCCGAAAAGCAGCCTGACCTCCAGAACCCCGAATCCCTACAACCCATGAAGACCTCAACACCCTTAGCCCCCAAAACCCTAAACCCTAAACCCTAAACCCTAAACCCTAAACCCTGGGTTCATTTGAGATCGGCACCAGCCCATGATGCTCTCCCACAGGGAGCCACTGCCCTTGGCATGCGAAGGTTTCGAGTTCAGGATCTACAGCTTTAGAGTTTAGGGGTCCAGGTGTAGGGTTTAGGGTTTAGGGTTTAGGGTTTAGGGCTTAGGGCTTAGGGCTTAGGGTTTAGGGTTTAGGGCTTAGGGTGTAGGGTGTAGGGTTTAGGGTTTAGGGTTTACCTGCAGGGTTGAGGGCCTTCAGACCGAGTGCGAATCGCCCTGCTGGCTCAGGAGCTGGCGGACTGGGCTGGCTTCCTGAGAGCAGAACCCTCCAGGGTTTAGGGTTTAGGGTTTAGGGTTTAGGGTTTAGGGTTTAGGGTGCTCCCCTTTGCCCAGAGAGCCCGCGACCCCTGAATTGAGGAATTGACCTTAAGCCAAATGGGGACCCTTGGTATGATTTACGGTATATTCCAGATTTCGGGTCGAAAGTGTGCTCCTTGGGTACCCTACACCCTAAACACCCCAAGCCTTAAGCCCTAAACTAGACCCTAGGTCGGAAAAGGGTACCCTTTTCGGGTTTAAAGGGGCTTATAAAGGAACCCTAAACCCTAAACCCTAAAACCTAAACCCAAAACCCTAAACCCCAAAAGAAAAAGGGCCTCCTCTGGTTCCTGGTGAAGGTCCCTAAGCCCTAAACATTCGGAAGGCTTCAGGGTGCAGAATAAGACCCCGAGGCGGTTTAGGGTTTAGGGTTTAGGGTTTAGGGTTTAGGGTTTAGGGTTTAGGGTTTAGGGTTTAGGGCGCGATGACACAGGAAAAGCGACAGAAAGAAGCGGTTTGGGGCTCAGGAATGTTTAGGACCAGGATTTAGAGATGTTCCAACGCGTATAGGGTTTAGGGTTTACCCTTCACAGCTGGGGCGAATCCGCATCGCAGGGCTTAGGGGGTAGTGCTGAGGGTTCTGAAGCCATCACCCTACAGAAACAAGCGCTTTGGGGCTTTCAGGGCAAAAATTTGATCTCGCAGGGCCCGTGCTATCCTTTTGAAACTGGGCCTGCTGGCTGCCAGCAAAACGCGACTCAAATCCCGACCCCTACGTGACAAAGCCATGGCTACTATTTGCTTAAGAATCCCCCACAAATACAAGCATAAAAATAATGATATTGTCTCGGGGGGGTTTTAAGCAGGAAGCAGATGGCAAGAATTGCGCACATAGCGGCAAGTGAGCCAGCACCCTTGGGTTCTTATAAGCCCTCGAGCCTCTCGCCCTTAAACCCTCCGTCCGAAACCCTCGCGGGAGTGTAAGAGTCGAAGGCTTAAGCCCTAAACTTTTAGGATCAAGGGACCTGAAGCGTAGGTGGAAATTCGAGTTGGAAGTGCCCCAAAAAGGGCCCCTAAGTAGGGCTATCCCATTTCATACAACCCACCTATTAGAACTACCTTCTACTTACCAAGTCTCCCCATCCTCCAAGAAGGACCGGCCTTGCAGATTAAAAAGATATCCTTAACTACGCACTACTAACAAAGTCTCCACATACTCCAAGAAGGACCTACTTTGTAAAGAAACCCCAAAACCTAAGCCCTCAACCCTAAACCCTAAACCCTAAACCCCTAAGAATGACCCATCCGAGCACGGGGCCTGGGGGACTTGGGAGACTGTGAAGAACTGGAGAGGATCCTCGCCAGGACAGCCAAGGATTTAGGGTTTCGGGTTTAGGGTTTAGGTGTGAAGCTGCCCTGCCTCCAAACCCTTTTTTTGCACACACCGGCTGGGGGGAAATGCTGCTCAAGTCGCTGAGGTCGTTCATGCTAAGTCGCCCACCCTGGTGCATTGCAGCATGAGGAACTCTTCTTCCTTGCGTGCAGAGGCAGGCCCGCAGCGAAACCCTGTATAAACCCTAAACCCTACGTGGACCGGAGTCCCCCTGACATATTGGTGTCGATCTTCACACGTTTTGCTTAGGGTCTACTAGCCTAGACCTGTCTTGCGCACTTTTTGGTCTAGGTTGCCAGGGTGGCCTCAGAACAACAACCTACAAACCCTAAGCCTAAACCCTAAACCCTAAACCCTAAACCCTAAACCCTAAACCCTAAACCCAAAGGGGCACAATCATGGGGGGAAAGGGACCGTAAGATAACATTATTAGTAAACGACCCCCCCATATTCCATATTAGGGTTCAGGATTTAGGGTTCTACATTCGGATTCTTTGTGTCCTCACCCTGCCACCCCTGCACACAGTGCTAGGACAGCAAATGGGATCCGAACCGTGAAGGTGGCGAAGCAACGCCGAGCTGCTTTTTCCTCAGATTTAGGGTTTAGGGTTTAGGGTTGAGGTTTAGGGAAAACAGAAGCCCCCGAGATTGGGGAAAGCTCACTTGGTTCAAGTGCTGCATTAGGCAGCATAGCTGTATAGCTGCAAGCGATGCTTAACGACAACTCTGACCCCAGTACTATTAAGACTAGTATTCGCCTGACTCCCTGTACAGTTGACGTGGTTCTGTCGGGACAATTGCATGCTACCACTTCACTGCGGGTGTTCATGCTGTGACGAGGGCAGTGACGTCTGTGCGAGCAGTTGCGAATTTAGATGTTGCGTTGGCTTCAGTCATGGATCGCCGGCTCCATACGTCCGACATTGATATTATATATATATATATATATAGATATGTATATATGTATACATATATATATGCATATCTGTGTGTGTGTGTAGTTGTTTGCCTTGACTGCAGTGATGCCTCTGAAGCCGTTATTATGGGTGATGTACCCACCACTACTCCTCCGGATTAAAGGACCGACACGCAAACCAGACTTCAACGAAGAGCCAAGTAGAACCCACCCGAAACCCAAAACCTCAAACCCTAAACCCTTTTTTTGAAACCGGACTTGATGTAAACCCTAAACCCTAAACCCCCACGTCGTTCAACTACGACCACCCTTTTGTTCCATCGCTTTGCCGAGCCCTTGCCCTAGGGCACCTCACAGCATCGGCGCGTCTGGACGCTTCTGATACTGGGACTGCTCTGAAGCCTAACATCCCAGCCGCTTCACTTTTCTGAGTTTGCCCGGTTCAATCTGTTGAGTCTATTCTCTGTGTGCTGATTGAATGCTACCTCATACATAGAGACAAGAAGCATGCATGTGTGTAGCCCTGCTTGGAGGCTAATTTGGGTAGTTAGAAGCAGAGTTAGATGGTAACTACATACATATATACCTTTATTGAGGGTACTCAGAACTTATAAGTACCCATGAGAATCCAAGAAGCTTCACGCGACGCAGGTTTGCGAATGGGCCTTAAGCCACGCGCCAGGAGCCAAGCTGCCCTCTAATCTACGGTCAAAAGGCGGAGGTTTACAAAGACACCAAAGTCACCTACTTGGAGGTTAATGGGAAGCTATGATTAGGAGTAGAAGTAGAGTAACTATACCTAGAACCCTGTTTAGGGCGCTTGTCGCCCTGCTTGTAACTACCCATGAACCTCCATGTAACCACCCGAGACTGAGATCAACTCAGAAGGGGCATTTCTCAAGTTGATAGACAGAGGCTGGTGGATGTGTGAATTCATGTTACATGTGTTGCAGAGTGCGCAAACCACGAACGCACGCAGCCTAGCCCAGCAGAAGGACGTGCGCTCAAGACGGCCGACGCTGGATGCGTGAGACGTCGGAGGCGCCTATCCATCGACTTGCAAAGCTGAGCTGCTGCAATCCTTGCTCCTACGACCAAGCTGGTTCATACTACTGCTTAGCCACGCTACATGTTGCCACTACCGTAAGCCCTAAACCCTAACCCTAATCCTAAGCTGGGCATGCGTCAAGCCCGCAGAAGCAAGGCCTTGTTCTCTCACCTCGTCTGGTCGCTTGCTTGCAACTCAAACCTCGGGGATGCCCATATAGAAGTGATAGTGGAAGTAGATGGGGGTTTACGAAAATAAGGGACCCCTTATTATAGTCCCCCAAATAGTAGGATCCCCCTGATAGTAAGGACCCCACGAAGGTACCCCTAATTCGGAAAACCCAAGATATCTTCTGGAAGTCGTGACGAAGTAAACGATCGGGCATGAGGCCAGCATACAACTAAGTGGCTCTATGGAATGGAAGCGCAAAGTGCTTGGCATGACTAAGACGGCAAGTAGCAGGGCTTGAGATGCTTTAAATGTTTTAATTGCGGTGGACACCCCAGTCTCCTGCGAACCCGACGACTACAAGAGGGCCGAACATATCGATGGAGGCGACTCACTCACGGCATCTTTGACCATGCCACCGACCTGCTTGCATTGGGCGCATGGTGTCGTGAGCAAACAAACGGTATGGGGCCGAGCGCCTACACACACCCCGCACGGAGGCATGTGACACTCCCCTTCCACGGGGCAGCTAGAACATGAGGTTTTGAAAGCATGCCAGGGCTGCCCATCTGGGCTGCTGTGTGGGTTTCTGTGGCCGTGTGCAGACGCGGCTTACAGAGGCAAAGATTCTAGTAATAGGGAGTTGCCTTGTGCTACACACTACCCTAAAGCCCAGACCGAAGGTCTGCAAAGCTTGCGTGTAGCCGCTTGCAAGACATGCCGAAGGACAAAGACCCGTAGCCCTGCGCCTGAAGCCGAATTTGTGGTTGCATCTGGGGGTTTGAAAGATTCCTGCACTCAAAGAGCTGCTGAGAAGGGAATCCCAGAAGCCTCCCAAAACACCCCTTCTGCCCCCACAACCCGAAGCATAGACCTGAAAGCCTAAACCCCAACACCTTTCAACCCTATGCCCGAACACCCTACACCCTAAACCCTAAACCCTGAACCCTGAACCCTAAACCCTAAACCCTAAACCCTAAACCCTGAACCCTGAACCCTGAACCCTAGCTAAACCCTAAACCCGACCTCACTTGTCCTTCTGAAAGAAGGGATGGGCCAGGGCGTCTTCGGGCGTTAGCCGCTCCTGGGCCCCCAGCAAGCCCAAAAACAAATAGCCTGAGGGTTTAGGGTTCGTTGAAAGAGCCCTTCGTACTTGGCGGTTCATGTGGGTAGTTATAACGTAGGGTTGCAAAACTATGGCAGCTTTCCTTTGTTTAGCCCTATTTTGGGCACATATAACGCCTGTAGCTACCCATGAACCTCAAAGCCGGAGGCATCCCGAACAACTCTTACCTAGCATTTCAAGCCCCGAATCCCCAACTCTAGACCAAACCTAACACCCTCACCCCGAACCCCCCCCCTCCTCCCTAAGCCACCCTAAACCCTAAAACCTAAACCCGAAACCCGAACCCCGAAACCTAAACCTCAAACCCTAAACCCCAAACCAAGGCACCGCCGGGTCCAGGACGAGCAGTTTCGCGACGAGGTCCGCCACCCGCGGCATCAACCGCTCCTGGGTCTTCGGGTCCTCAGCTCGGCTCGCAAGGGGGCCAAGGGCTGTGCTGCCCATGACTATGTATGCATGCATTCTGTCATAAACGTATGTATGTGTACGTCTATCTATAAATATAAATATATATATATATATATGTATAAATTAACGAAAAAATGAACAGATAAATAAATATAAATATAAATATAAACACACACAGAGATATATACATATATATATATGTGTGTGTGTGTGTACATGTATATATAGGTTTTATTTAGAGAGAGAGATGTATATGAACATGCACATTGAACTTGTACTTGCCAACAGACTCTACTAGGTTGGCCTTTAAAACCCCCTGGAAAATATTGACTAATCTGATCCGTCTAACTCCCAGGGCAGAGGAGTTCATAGGGACTAATCTGGAGTCAGTGAGCTCTGCAAGGTTGATGTCTATAGACTTTGGAGCATTGAAGGGTAGGACTTGGTCCATGGTTATGTCCCAAAAGAAGCGAAGGATTTCATGCAAGCCTTGGCAAACAAAGGCCACAAGGCATAAAGCGAGGTGCCGAGTTCGGCGGGGGGTTCTTGAACACCTGGTCCAGCATGTTGCCCACCTTGGTTTAGGGATTTAGGGTGCAAGGCTCGGATTTCCAAAGATGTTTAGGGTTTGGCAGAGAGGAAGTAAACCTCAACCCTAACCCCAAAACCCGAAACCAGGGTTCGGGGTCTAAGATTTAGGGTTTATGAAACGAAGAAGGGGTGCAACCGACTCCGCATCCTGATGCAGAGCTCTGACTGCTCTATCTGGCGATGTTGGCTCCTCTGAACTTACGGGGTGACTGAAGGGTTTAGGGTTTATATAGGGTTTAGGGTTTAGGGTTTAGGGTTTAGGGTTTAGGGTTGCTTCTGCTCCGGGGCCAAAGGCTTGCCACCAACTGGACTTGCAGCCGCACGCGCAGTGCACACTCAAGAAAAACCAAGCCAAACCATAATTTTTGTATTTCTGTGTAAGTTTAGATATAAAAAAATAGATGAATGTGTGTAAGGCTTGATGTATTTATCGGACCTGAACCTGGGCCCACATCAACCATGGCGCACCGGGTTTTCTCCTTTGGATTGCGCGGGGCGGGTGGGGGGGGGGGGGGGGGGGGGCTCCCTCGAGATCTAGATAGGCGGCCTAGATAGTCGGCTTGCTGCTTTTCGGCATTCTCTCCGTGAATCTTCAAAGTAGAGCTTCACCTCCCACGACCTAAACACAGCGCCTCTGACGTCGCCTGTCGTCAGCTACCTCGGCTTAACCAACCTGAAGCAAGATGGCGATGTCTAGCCCAGGAACTCCACCTGAAGAAACGCTTCTCAATCGCGTCCTAGAGTCTGGCTGGCGGACCTTCTCGTACCGCTTCATGGGCAGGATGTCCCCTAAGTGGCATGACGCTTCAACCCTGAAATCGGCTCCTCTTCTCAGAAGCCTCCCCTCAAGCTAGCGCCACCAGGGCCCTTGGTGCCACTGATTTTGCCTACTCAAAAACTACCATTTGCTTAAGAACCCCAAAGAATACAAACAAAAAAACAATAGTCCCCATATTTCCCTTATGAGGAAGAATATTGTCTATTTTTTGGGGTTCAGAAGCAACTACTCAAAAAGGGCATGCAGAGACCCAGAAGCTGCTGTCACGCTTAAGGCATCAGCTTGAGATTAAGCCTGGAACCCAACCCTAAACCCTCAAGGAAGCTCTATAAACGCTGCCTCCGGTTTCAAGTCCAAGTGTCGAATGCCAGTGATGGACGTGGGATCATGAAGAAGGAACTCACCTGTTTTGGGCTTTGGGTTTGAAGCCGTGCCTGTGTCCCTGCTGCTGTCTTTGCCACAAACTATGCGCAATACCTTCCTCACACACACGAACATGGTCACAGACTTGCATCTTGCCCCAATGCATACACAAAAGTTTGCCAGTTCTTGTGCATCGCCTACTTGCGAAGGCGAAGTACGGACCGGGCTGGCCTTCGGAATTGAAGTGCTTCGCGTGGAACTCACCTTTGGTAGCCAGTCGCTTCGGAAAGGCGCCAGACACCTGGCGGAAGGGCGCAGAGGTGCGCGCCGGGTTGGGGGCACCGCAGCAAAGCTACAGTAGCAGCTTGAGAACTTTGAGCCCGAAGTTCGCAACTAGACACAGATTCAACGAAATTCTGAAGGGTTTGCCTCTGCTGAATTGACCCTGATTTCAAAGGGACTCTTACCTGCCCAAACCACGCTCCTTTGAGCGAAGGTACAGGGCGCTTCCCTTGAAGCTCTGACGCAGGACCCTAAACCCTAGACCCTAAACCCTAAACCCTAAGGGATACCCACCAAAACCCACAAAAGCTTAGCGGACCCACGGAAACCACACGAGAAGCGGCCGCGAGGCTGAACGAGAACCCTGCATGAACAGAAGAAAGGTGTACCTGCTGCCATAGGTAAGGTCTTTTTTAGGGTTTAGGTTTTAGGGTTTAAGGGTTTAGGGTTTAGAGTTTAGGGTTAGGGTTTTTGACTCCCTTGCAACTCCAAGTTTAAGAGCTTCGCCTCCAGCATCTGCCGCACCATCGAGTTGTTCGACTTCCCCGTGAAAAGGATCTTGCCGCCTGCTGGCATACTAATTTTAGAGAGAGGTGTGTGTGTGTGTGTGTGTGTGTGTGTGTGTGCGTGTGTGTGTGTGTGTGTGTGTGTGTGTGTGTGTGTTTCTAAGACTTTATTTATATACAGAAAACACAAACAAAGAAAGACTATATCTATACATATATATATATATAGAGAATGTGTACATACAAAGCATATATGTATATGTATATGTATATGTATACGTATACATATATATATATATATATATATATATATATTCACATATGTACAAGGATTGAATGCAAAATAGAAATCAGCAGTTAGACAGCTGAGAAGGCATCTCATCAGTATATGCACATGCTTAGACACAGATTGATGCAGCAACGGAGAAACCCTTAACCCTAAACCCCATCTGCAACATGCTCTTCGGGTCTTTGCGGGCTCAGGAAACAAACTCTCGACCCAAACCCAGAGCTCCCAAGCTAAATCCATCCAAACCGAACCCCAAATCCCAAACCCCAAACCCTAAACCCCGAACCCTGAACCCGAAACCCGAAACCCTAAACCCTAAACCGTAAACCCTAAATCCTAAACCCTAAACCCTAAACCCAGCCCTCGAGGCATGACCTCAGTGGCTGCGTTCTCTCCAATCCGGCTTTGGGGTGGTTACACAAAGAGCCCAAGACCCCTTCATTAAGGGGTTTAGGGTTTAGGGTTATTGAATCATACTAAGGATCCCGGTATGGTTTAACTGGGCACAGCCTCTGAGGCAGGACTCAAACCCCTGGCAGCCGGGCCCCTTTCAGGTTTGCTTTGCCAGAGACTGCCCCAGCACAGGCTTATCAGAAGAGCCACCAAAATATCCTTTAATTCAGGAGTCTACCTTAAACTCATACTGAGGGTCCCCCTATAGTTTACGGTATATATAACTCTCAAATTTGAGGAGCAGTGGGCTCTCTAGGTTCCTAAACCCTAAACCCTAAAACCTAAAACTCGAAACCCTAAACCCTAAACCCTAATTCCTGAACCCTAAACCCCAAGCCCTAAATCCTGAACCCTAAACCCGAAACCCGAAACCCTAAACCCTAAATCCTAAATCCTGAACCCGAAGCCCTAAACCCTAAACCCTAAACCCGAAACCCTTCTACACCCAAACCCCAGCGACGCGGTGGCGGCCAGGGTGCAGCTCAACTCGAAGAGGGTGACGCCCGAACTCCAGAGGTCGATCTGCGTGTCATACCTGTCTAGGGTTTAGGGTTTAGGGTTTAGGGTTTAGGGTTCAGGATCTGTGTGTGATACCTGGAATTCCCACACAATTTCTAGGGTTTAGGGTTTGGGGACTAGTTTTTTGTGTAGGGTTTCGGGTTAAACGTTTAGTCTTTTTTTAGGGTTTAGGGTTCTAAGTAATTATGGTCCCTTGACTTGGGCTCCTTGTTATATAACCCTTAAATATGCTATTCATAATAAGGGCCCATACTTCAGATCCCTCTAAACAATGTTAAGGGACCAGCCATACGAAGCTCTCCAGGTTCAGGTTTTGGGGCCAAGAGCCTCCTCAGTTATACTTAAGGAAATCCTGGCTTAAACCAGGCCCCTTAGGAAAATCTGGCTTAAACCAGGCCCCTTCTACCAACAATCCTTTAGGGATTATCCTGGGGCTACTAGAATACCTATTAAGGACGGTTAGTAGAAGGGGCAACATCCCAACATCCGGGGGTCCATTGATGTAAGGCGTACTCAAACCCTAAACCTACACCCTAAACCCTAAACCCTAAACCGTAAACCTCCTTAATCAGAGCGTGCTGGGCTGTTTGGGTTCCAAGGGCACCATCCAAGTCGCAACCTTGATTCATCCTTAACCCTAAAACCCTACAACCCTCAAACCCTAAAACCCTAGAACCACTAAAACCACCCCAAAAACCCAAAACCCTAAAACCCCAAACCCAAAACTCTAAAACCCCAAACCCAAAAAAACCTAGAATCCTAAAACCACCCGCAATAGTATATATGTGTATGTATTATTCTATTCTATTCTATACAATCTTATTCTATTCTTGTTTATTCTGTTATAATACGTGTATACATATATATATATATATATACATATATATTCTTCTCATACTGCGTTATGTTAGATTGTATATACGAAATATTCTATGTACAGAAACATATGTGTTCAGCCACGCCGCCCACTGCCGAGAATAACCTCTGGCGCTCGATAGAAGCGGGGCTGCAGATACGGTGTCTTCACCGCCTCTCCGCCGCTTAGGCAAGGTATGTTCAATATCCCATGTTAGCCCTGTTGTGGGGTTGGGGTCTGCTTTCGTCGCTCAAGCCTCAACTGCAGTGTCTAACGTTCTCTGGGAGACGCACGCCGAGGCGCTCATACAAAAACCTGTTTCCACGAGGGACGGCTGTTTGGGCATCGTGCCTACGTGCCTTTGCACGGTGGGCTGCATGACTTGTGACACTCTCTGCTGCGTGCCTCGCCCACGTCCATGGCTGATCCAAAGTCGCACAGCTTGATCTCCGTCTTGCTCAGCGTTATGAGCACCTAACATGAAGCATGTCTCTCACATCCCCTTCATGAGTGGCTGTCCTGCGCCCTCTGAAATCAGACGCTCTTGGCGAAGAGCTCTCAAGCCTAAACTTTGAACCCTGTCAGTGGAGTGTTGGACGTGCGCTGAAACACCAAACGCACCGCAAAACACATGGCAACGCCAGAAACACGCCGGGCGGCATTGTCGGGTTTCAAGTCGCCTCAGATGCCGTGAGGTGTGCCGAGGTCACCAAGCACGGTAGCCAAAGGGTGCCCCAAAATAGAACTGAAACAACGATATCTGAAGAACCCATCGTCCACGCGCTGCAGAGATCTGCAGAGAGTGGGGGCTCATGACGACTTGAGAACTAAGTGCTTAGCTAGGTGTTGACTTCAACAGCCCCTGGAAGTTTTTAGAAACAGGGCTCCATACTAAACAATAAGGGAAATTAACAATTATCCTAAATCGATACCTGGTAAGGAATTTCATGGGCAACTCTCCAACCCTCTGCAAGACGTGCAGATGGCAATCTCTCAGCGACACGCTTGAGGTTGGCGGAAGCTCCGACTACTCCTTCGTGCAGCCTGTTAGTGCTCTAGGGTTTAAGGTTTAGGGCTCAGGGAGTATCATCCAGATCTGCTGGGGCTTCTAAGCATGCACTTCGTCCACGTCTGCACATAAAAATATCGCACCACCAAGCCGGACATGCACAATCACTCGGGATGCTCCCCCATATACTAACAGTCCTCAATAGGGATTATAATCGCGGGGGGTAGGGGGGGCGCTATAATCCCGACTAAGGACTGTTCGCATAAGGGGGAGAATCCCAAACTCTAAGCCCGAAGCCCAAAACCCTAAACCCTAACCCAAAACCCTAAACACTCACACTTGTAGGCGCCAGGCCATGAATCAGCTTTATTTTCCGCAGGCACCGCAGGGCCAGGAACAATTGCCTGCGCAACTTGCTCTCAAGAAACATTGAATTAGACTTCATGTCTATACTCCCCTTAGAACCTTCCAAAATATATGGTGAATGTTTTCTTGGGCTTTATACAAATACAAATAAAACTTAAACCTAAGGGGGCGATAGGAACACACAAGCCGGCAAAATCTTGTCCCAACAGGCCTGGCGTATTGTGCGACCGTCTGCAACGGAAGGCCCTTCCCTTGTCCGTACCTGAGCTCAAATGGTCCCGCGCGAGCCCATCCTAAGCATGTACGCCCTGGACCCTGAATCCTACTGCACACCTCAAGTTAACATATTACCTATTCTCCCGATATGCCGTGTTAGGTACGCTTGCTTGTCCTAAGAATTCAACCCTAAACCCTACGCGGAAGCTGTTTTGACTTAGTAGGTAGGTCGATAAGTTGGGCTATGGGGACTATTCTAGGCGATACTAAGTAAACTTACAAAGGCAAAAGGGCTTCCAAGTAAACCCTTATTGGGCTTCCTGGGTCCTTGTAGGGCTCAGGGCTCAAGGGTTTAGGGTTAGGGTTTAGGGCTACACGATCCAATAGGTGCTTCGACTTTAGACAGCGAATAAAGTAAGGGCAGCCATTTTTTTGGTAACTTTATGGCTTAAGGTTCAGGGCTAGAAAGCAGGGTATATGTAAGGGAGCCTCAACCATGGAAGGAGCCTTGAATATTAGGGTTTAGGGTTTAGGGATGCTTTTAGGGTTTAGGGTTTAGGGGGTTTAGGGATTCTTGACTGAGGGACCGGTCTGAGCCAGGTGTCTTGGTCAGAGCCGTCCGCAGATCGCACTTAAGCAGATCGAAGACCAGGCACCTTACCATCCAAATTTAGGGTTTTTACTGTAGGGGTTTAGGGTTTAGGGTTTAGGGTTTAGGGCATCCACAACCAAGACCCAAGGAGCCCAATACCCCTTAAATTAAGGAGCCTACCTTAGATCACAATACCGATCCCTACACGTAAAAGGGATGTCCCCCCTTCTACTAACATGCCTTAATAGGGATTCTACTAGGGGACACTATAATCCCCATTAAGGATTGTTAGCATACAGGGAAACATCCCTATCTACATATATATATATATTATATAGTTTACGCCATATCCCTATCTACATATATATATATATAGTTTACGGCAAATTCCTTGGCTAAAGGGTCCCGGGCTCTCTGGGGAATCCCAGCAGAGGCTCATTGGCACTCCGAAAAAGAACAGCTGAGCAAGGATACTCGTCATGGCGTTGAACTAACCCCGCCCCGCCCCCCACTTCCCCCCTCTTGTCTTCCCCCTTCCTGGCCCGACCTTCTCAGCACACTTTTAGGAACAGAAACGGCTACTCTGAACAACCCCCGAAATTCACATCGTTCGGTCAACATAAAAGGGCCATTCTTAGACTTGCGATGATGTAGACCTTAAGCCTGAACCCCAAGCCTCCAAAAGGGTGCACAAACTTGGATAACCCCACATGCAGGCGGTTTTTCGCGGGGAATCAATTCTGCAGTTCCTATAGTCAGGGTTCTGGATTAGGAGCCCTAAGCCCTGAACCCTAAGCCTTTTTAACCCTAAACCACATTCGCAGCTGAATTATCTTTCGCAGGAGGTGGCACAAGTGCCCCTGATGGTCGAACGTCTCCGGAGGCGCGAGCCTCGAGCAAGGGGCGCGCAGGCAGGGCCCTAAACCCTAAACCCCCTAACCCCCTAATTAACCTATGCAGGGTTTGGGTTTACAGCTGAATTATCTTACGGGGGGGGGGTTCGGGTTCAGGGTTTAGGTTCAAGGTTTAGGGTCTAGGGGTTACTTGTTGTTTAATTATTTGGACTAGAAAGCCTCGGATTTCGATGCTCTACAGACAGGGTTCGGAATTTGGGCTGATAGAGCTCTTGTCCTTGGGGCTCTTTGCCCCTACTACTGACTACTGCCTCTTTGCTCAGCCTGCAATCCTTCCCCCGAATATTCGGGTTAGGGTTTAGGAAAAAAAGACCGCCCTCTATGGTTTAAATTATGTATGCCCAGAAGGTCCCGAAGGTGTGGTCTGGGCATTCCAGGGACGGGACTTTCATGGTGGGATGCTTTGACTACGCTCCTTCATAGCAAGTAGATGCTGTACCAGCCTTAGAACCAAAAACAACATACTATGTTTATTTCTCTCTTGGGGTAGCTACCACGGACTATCGGAAAGAACTCGGAGTGTCTGGAGTCTCGGACTTCGCGAATGCCCTCGCGCACGTTGCATAGGACCCCCGCAAAAGCACCCCAAACCTGGTAATGCGCACGGACGCAGCCAAGTGGCAGCATAATGTACTGCGCACCCTCGTGATCCTCCTCACAGGTTTAGGGCTTAGGGTTTAGGGTTTAGGGTTTCGAACGAAAGGGAAGCCCGGACTCGTCGAGCCCCAAAAACCATAATTTAGGGTTCGGAATGATTCTTCATAGTATTCCCTCATACTCCCCTTACACTGATGCAAGAATTCCCCAAAAACCCCTTGATGGTCGAACCCTGAACTCCATAGCTTCTGGGCAGGTTCCACCCAGAGCCCCAAAACTCCTGAACCAAGGAATACAACTTAACCCATACACACTCACTATGATTGATTGAAGGTTTAGGGTTGAGGGTTTAGGGTTTAGGGTTTAGGGAGTATTCCTTACTTAGGGTGCAGTGGGGTCTTTGAGGCAGGTGGGTTTGTCCTTTGCCGCGACTTTGGCCAACTTGCGATAAGTCTCCACCTGCTTTGCGGGGTGCAGGGTCTTGGAGCCACATTCCAAGATAACCACACATATCCCATGCGTTCCTTTCAAACAAAGAACGGTTATAGGTTGGGATGCTGCCCCTTCTACGAACAGTCCTCAATAATTTAATAGGGATTCTAGTACCCCCTAGAATCCCTAAGAAGGACTGCTAGTACAAGGGGGAAGATCCCAAGTTAGAGGGGGTTTGGGAGCATGCCTCCTTCTCTGCCGCCTTCCGCATCATCTTGTTAGACCTTCGCCGCGCTCTTGAAATCTCATGAAACCATCAATGCACGAAGCTCTCCAAGCCTACTTGGAAGTTCATGGAGGTTCATGGGTAGTTATACGTAGGGGTTCTAAGTATAGTAAGTATACTTGTTACCCGATTTAGGGTACTTAAAACCCTACGTTTGACTTCGCATTAACCTCCAAGTGCACACTCTTCCTGTCAAGCCCCACACCAAGTTCTTGCGCCAACGGATTGCGAAGTCTGCATTGCCCCTAAACAACCCTTGTCTATTTAGGGGTAGTTCTCTAAAATAAGTTTTTTTGGGGGGTCCTTCGTTTTAAGGGGACCTTGCTAGAAACAGGACCCTAATTTAGGGAACTACCCATGTGCAGACCACTGTATAAATATTTCCTTGACACCCGATACCCGAGCCCCCACGTCACCCTTCACCTTTCAGGCGTATCAGAGCCTTAGCCACCGGCCAAAGCCTGCTTAGGCTAAGGCTTCAGCAGTTCTGGGTTTACAATCAGGCTATGCTATGATACGTGGGAGTTTGCGACAATAAGGGACCCCTATGATAGACCCCCCCCCCAAATAGTAGTAGTCCCTGAGAAGAAGGACCCCAATAAGGTACCCCTAATATCGGAGACTCCCATATGACCATAAGGCAGGGTACCGCACAAACTTCAGGGCGACGTCAGTCTTCGTCCCCACATGCCTGGGCACCACGGAGCAACGACTTGACGCTGACAAGTCACTCGGCCAGATCTCATGCCAGGTAATACGAACCATACAATTGGCAGTCGGAGTCGTGAACAAAATTCTGCTTAGTAGTGAATCATCATCAACAACAGGGAAAATATCAATTTTATGAAAATCCCATTTAAAGTAAACATAATTTAGAAGACTCAATACTCTAGTACATCGTGCAGCTCCCCAAAAAAGCGACTTTACCTCCGCAGAAGCACTTGCAGCGGAACACGCTGGAGAAGACGCCTTTTCCTTGGTGCTGCCATTGGATGGCCAGGACATGCCAACAACCCTTAACTCGAAGGAAATGGTCTCATCAAGGATCGAGCTCCCAAAGAAGACCGAAGTGCAGAGAAAGGGTTTAGGGTTTCAGGTTTAGGGTTTAACCCTAAACCCCAAACCTGTAGCTGTGAAAGGAGTGGAGGAGCAACTATAGGCTGGCCCTTTAACCCCACTGGACAATACAATACCCCTTAGATGGGGAGTATAGCTTGAACGAAGTGGCCCTTTTGGGGGTTTGGGCTACTTCTTGACGTACTTTGAGGCTCCAAATGTCTGGGCGCCAAGACTCCGATGTTGGCCTCTGCCTGGTAGTCACGGTTGGGCCCAAGCGTCTCGCCGATGGAAGCAATGTAGTACCTTAGAAGCAACGGGAATCGTGCCCTTGGAAGGTTCCGCATTTATGGGCATAACCCTAGGCGATTCAACAAACGAGCCTTGACCCTAAACCCTAACCCCCGAACCCCCTAAACCCCCAAACCCCTAAACCCCTAGACCCTAAACCCCTAAAACACCCCTAAACGCCTAAACCCCTGAACCCCTAAACCCCTAACCCCCTAAATCCCAAGACCCCTAGACCCCTAAACCCCCAAACCCTAAACCTGCTATGCGTGTAAAGCCAGGCCGAGGGCTCTTGCTCGTTGGTTTCGCCGCGATGGCCTTGGGTTAAACTGCACATGCTTCCAATGCGCAGCGATTTCTGCCGAGCTCTGCGCGGAGTTTAGCGTTTAGGGTTTAGGGTTTAGGGCTTAGGGCTTTCTGAATGGTCGAAAATCAGCTAACTTGTGCCACGCAGACGAAACCCTAAACCAGATCCTCCGTCCGAGCATCCTTTCCTCTCCTCCCAGTCTTGCTTGGCCTTGATAATCCACAGTCGCAGCTGGTTTCCTCAGCGGTTTAGGGTTTAGGGTTTAGGGTTTAGATTTAGGGGCAACGGAAGTCAGACTGACCCTGCAAAGCAACACACACACTTAGCCGTCCTAACCCTTTCTTCGCAGCAACCCTAGCAGAGGTTTCACATATTGGGCTCAGCCCATGCATGGCATACATATGGGCACGGCTTTCACCAAATTCAAGACAAACGCTCGAAGCAACATGAACCCTCTTGTATCCCAAGCCCACGCCCTGAACCCTAAACCCTAAACCCTAAACCCTAAACACGCCCTGAACCCTAAACTCGAAACTTGGCTGTAGCAGAAATGTCTCGTAACCTAGCTCGGAACTACTCCCCTGCCCCTTTCATATACCAAACAATGATTTACACGAACAAGTTTAAGAAATCAGGGAGTAGGGTAGATGAAAATGTCTAGGGAGGGGATTCAACCACCCCATCACACCGAAGCCACGAGCTCATCCTAGCAGCCGGTTGAGAACCCTAAATTCTAGAACACCCCCCCCCCCCCCAAAAAAAAAAAAAAAAAAAAAAACTGAACTGGAGCTTTACCCAGAGGCTCTTATGTAGCACCTTGCGGGAGTAGTATACTAGAAGCCCCTCGAAGTAACCCATAAAGGAACTACACTAGAGCCTTCAGGTAAAGTTGTTAAACCATCCTGTGGCTTGTCTGAGGTGGCGGCTTTCCGCGGCGAGCTGCTTTCGGAGCTCATCAACATTTCCAAGCTGTTTCAGGCCACCTTCGTCGCGGGCTGTCTCGGGATTCGCCACTTTTGACTAAGCCCGAATCCTGACACCCCTGTAGCCCTAAAGGACCCTAGACTTCCTAAACCCCTAAACTTCCTAAAGCCCTAAAACCCCACCCTAAACCCTAAACCCTAGAGCCCTGAAACCCCAACAAAACCCTGCAGAACCCCCCCACACCCCCCTAAACCCTAAACCCTAAACCCTCAACCCTCAACCCTCCTGTGCAAGGAGCCTGAGACCGGACTGGCATCTCCTTGGCTCAACTTCCCCTTCTCGGCCGAAGCGTCGCCGTCCTGTTTAGGGAGGCTTTGAGGAGGTTAGGGAGTAGGGGGTTTATTAACCCTAAACCCTAATAAACCCTAAACCCTAAATGTAGGGAATAGGGGTTTATAAGGGTGGGCTTCGGATGGTTTAGGGTTGCGCTCTTAAGCAAAGGGCATTTCGTGGTTTGGTCTGATTCCTTATATACCCCCTAATATATACAATACACATTAAGGGCCCATACATCGATGATATCAGAACCCTTTCATGGAGGCTGGGGACCATATTCAGGGCCCCTGTAAGAGCCCTCTAAGTTTCGGAACATTCGGTTTAGTTAGTTGCCTGATGCATAAGAAAGTAAGCCGTGCTTACCCTTAATAAACCCTAAATCCCAGATCGAGATTTGCGCCGCAGTCGGCTAGTGTATCCTACCGTCCAGAGCAGCCTTACCATGACTTTATGCAGGCAACCCTAAACCCTAAACCCTAAACCCTAAACCCTCGAACCCTTGAACCCATCAACCTGTGTCTTCCTAGATGCCCCCAAGTGTAGCTATTTATGATACCGAGTGTTCGTGTGCTTTGATATTACAACCAAAGAGTCGGAGCACACGCAAAACACAACATACAGTGGATGACGAGGATGGGCTGTGGTAAGAATCATAGGGCGCAGGCTAGGGTCCAGGTGGATCCGGGCTGATCGGGCTTAAAACTCAGGGACGCAACAGCTGTAATCTCATGTATGCTATACCCTCAAACAAACGTTCCCTCTGCAACTGTTCGGCGTTGGGGTGGAACTTGCTTTAGCTGCTATGGTACAGTGGTGCCTTCGACGCTGAAGGACGTGTCAATTGCGTGAAACCTTGCATAACTCTCCGGGTGCAGGTCCGGACAGGGCAGTGCCTGAGCGGTCCCTCTGCCAGCTGGCAAATTCACTCGAATTAGCGCGCGGGATCTGGTTTAACAGGAGGCTCCTAAACCCTTTTGCAACCCTAAACCCTAAACCCTGACTATCACATGCTTCAAGTTTGGGACGAAAAGTCCAGCGCGCGGCGTCTAACAGCGACCCGCATTTCAAAACCGCGTGGCAGCCCAGCAGAGCTCTTGGCTTCGCCCACACACATTGTGCCCGGTTTGGGGTTTAGGGTTTAGGGTTTAGGGTTTAGGGTTTAGGGTTTAGGGTTTAGGGTTTGGGGTTTAGGCTAGGGAAGTAACCCTTCCTTTGGAGTAGACCCTGCAAAAAGTTTATACTTCTTAGGTAGCTATAACAGGAACCCAGAACCCAAAAATAAGGATTAAAGTATAGCACTCCCAAACCCAGGTAAACCCCTTAAACCGCAAAAACACCCAACACAGCACCTTCATGTGCTTCCAGCTTCAGGCCGCCAGGCGCTACGCTTTTTGGGGCGCGGGCCACCTCTAACTTGCACGAGGCTATAGGGTTGCTCACACGGAAGAGGGTAGGGATTTAGGCCCTAAACCCTAAACCCGAAACCCTTTGTTTGCTACACCCTAAACCCTAAACCCTAAACCCTAAACCCTAAACCCTAAACCCTAAACCCTAAACCCTAAACCCCCTTAAGTCTTCAGACGTCCTAAGCCCACCAGTGGGATGTCAGCCATGCATCGGTCAGCCTTCCTCCTGGGCAACGCATGTCTTCTCTCAAACCGGAAACCTCGTGCCGACAGACCCATGTTGGTAGGAACGTTTAGGATAGGGTTTAGGGTTTAGGGCTAGGGTTTAGGGTGTAGGGTTTCTGGTTTAGGGTTTAGGGCTTTGGGCTTGACTGACCTTCCAGAGCTCCCAACCAGCGGCTTCAAGCATTCTTGCTTTAGGGTTTGGGGTTTAGTGGCTCACACTCGGACAAGCCAGGTGAGGTTTAGGGTTTCTAACCCTAAACCCTAAACCCTAAACCCTAAACCCCAAACCCTAAACCCTAAAACCCTGTAGCTTGGGCTTAAAGCCGAGGCCTCCTCCGAGCTGCTGTCGCTCTCCACTGTTTTCCTGTGCAGCGATGTTTCATAGGGTCTAGGGTTTAGGATTTAGGGTTTAGGGTTTAGGACCAGGAATTTTGGGGTTTTGGGGTTTCGGGTTTAGGGGCCATTTCTGCCAGCCACTCAAGTAGGGCTCAGGTTTTGGAAAGGTGAGGATTCGACTCTCTTCCTTCGGCACCCCTGAGACCTCTGCGCTAGCGGCGTTCCCCTTTTCCCCTGTCCGCCTCTTTCGCCCTAAACCCTTTTCTGCTTCAGGTCTTTTGGGCTAGCTCGCCCTAAGCCCGAAACCCTAAACCCTACACTCTAAGCCGTAAACCCTAAACCGCTGCCCAGTTGCAGCGCGCCACGACTCTCAAGCCGAGCCAGGGCCTGCACAGGTTTAAGGCGGCGTCGTTTAGGGTTTAGGGTTTAGGGGTTTAGGGTTTAGGGTTTAGGGTTTAGGGTTAGAGTTTAGGGTTGAGTGGTTTTAAGGTTTAGGGGCTTCGGCTCTCCACACTCGCACAAGGCAGGCAAGGATTCGGCTCGACGGCCTGTCATCTTAGAGCTGGCAGGATTCCCGCACTCCACAGCATAGATAGGAGAACAAGCCCAAGCAGGTTTAGGGGCCCAGTAGTCCGGGGCCTCTGCTGTAGGGGTTAAGTAGCATGAAACCTAAATCAACTACAGGGTTTAGGGCCATGTGGACAGTTCTCAGCTATGCTCCCTTCTCTGCTACCCCAAAAAACACGGGCCAAAATGATAGCAGGAAGCCCAAGAAAAAGCCATCATTGAGACAACTGGCCACTCGAATCCTGGACATTCACTGTGCCTGGAAGCTCATCTAGCGACTTCTTGATTCAGTTGGCCAGGAGTCAGCAGTATAAGCAGCGCAACTCTAGCCACAGTAAGTGCTCGGTGTTGTTGGAACTTGCACGACTCGAGTTCGGAGTTTCTTGAAGATTGGCCGGGCAAGCCCGACCAGGTCAACATACTTAGCACGCTTCATTGACTTTTCAAGCCCTTTGGGATTTACAAAACAAGGTGTCCTGCAATGCTACTGTAGGCACGGCCTACTTGCAGATGTCGCTGTTGAAAGCAAAGCACCTGCCTCTGCCAAGCGTACACATGACTCCGGCCGCTCTGCTTTCCTTAGGTCCGCACACCAATTTCCTCGAGCCCAACACCCCTTGAGTAAGGTTTATTATACCTTACATTCTATAGGGATCCTCGCTATGGTTTAAGTTATTTCGTCGTTAAGGGGCATTGACATTGAGCTCTCTGGGTACTTGCTGCCCATCTTTGGGCACTGCCCCAGCAAGAGTAGCACCAAATAACGATCAAGACTTGTGAGTCTACTTCTGAGTATACCATCCTCGGCTTTTTCTTCGTGTCTGCCCAGACTTTAAGGGTGTAGGCCCAACAAGGTACTACATAAGAGCCTTTGGATAGGGTTCAGGGCGCTCTAAACTCTCAACCATCTACGGGGTCGAGAATGATTTGCCTGTTTCCCCATATCTCTTAACTCGAAACTGAGGAAGAGTTTCAAAAAACACATAGGGGAAGTTCAACTGAAGTTTAAGGAAAGTTCTTTCATTAAAGGGTGCAGGAGGCTCTGGTGCATAGTCAGCCGAGTCAATGCTTTATCCATCCCCATGTGACTTCCCAAAATATGACCGATGCCTCTGCCACCGTTGTCCTTAATTTGAACATGAATACTTGGAGGTTCATGGGTACTTATAACCCCAACTCAAGTCTACTTATACTCTACTTAGAGGACTTGGGGGGGCTTATAAGTACAAATATTGTTGGGGTTAGAAGTACCCTGAACCTCCAAATACTTGCAGTTGCTGCTGTTTCCACCATGGGTTCATACACTGCGGCCCCAAAGCAGGTCTCTAGGCGTTGTAACTAGGGTACCGCTGTTGCTTGCCTCGGCAACTGACCCGGATACCCTGACAACCCTGATTCTGGCTCCTGGCACGCAGTGAACGGCCGCAACGAAAATCTGAGTCTGATTTTGTTCTGCGGGCCTGAGGCCACTTACTACAACACACGCCCTGACAGTTCAAAGCCTAAACCCTACAAACCCTACAAACCCTACAAAGCCTACAAAGCCTACAAAGCCAGAGAACCCTACTCTCGAATAATCTTTGCTTCTGCAGCCCAGGGTGCTTGCACCACTTGCCCACCGCTTGCGACACTGTCAGTGGCGAGGAGGCTCCCAGAGAGCCAGAGGAGGCGAATGTCACCCCTTTCCTTGGCTGCTGCTGGGGTTTAGGGTTTAGGGTTTAGGGCTAGGGTTTGCTCCCGACGCTTCCTTGTGCTGAGCAGCAATCTTCACCCCGCCTCCCGAGTGACTGCGTTGGAATCTTTACGAAGCCGGGGAATAACGACGGTACCTTTTTCGTCTTAAGTGTCCTACAACTTTCAGGCCAGAAGCAATAGCGTAAGAGACATCACAACTAGATACTCAACTGAGGGACCTCATGTAATCGCTCTGTTGGTACCAAACACATGAGGACCAAACCTGAGCAATCAAAGTTTGCATCCGTCCCGCGGGCACCATTCTCAACGCTGCACCTGCAACGTAATTTGTAGGCGCAGCCACACCGCCAAACCCTAAACCCTAAACCCTAACGCCTGAACCCTAAAGCCTAAACGCTAAACCCTAAATCCTAAACCCTGAACCCTAAACCCTAAGCCCTGCCCCAGTAATACTTATCCGCACTTTTGTTTTCTGAAGAATGGACTGTGGTCCGCGCCAGCACTTTGAAAAATGGACACTCCTCACCAGCCCAAAACCCCTGTAAGACCCCAAAGTATGTTGAATAGTGGCCCTTTTAATATAATTGGTTTAAACCCCAAACCCTAAACCCAAAACCCTAAACCCTAAACCCTAAACCCTGGGGGGCCCGGGAAAAAGCCCTCAAGCTACGCGCACGCGCGCACTGCGGCCGAGGGTCTCGTAGGCCTCCGCAGCCTCTGCTCGAAGCCGCGCCTTGGACACTTTTACACTCAGAAGCCGGTGAGCCCCTGCGCCAAGTTCTATTGGGTTTAGGGTTTAGGGTTTAGGGTTTAGGGTTTAGGGTTTAGGGTTTAGGGTTTAGGGTTTAGGGTTTAGTGTTAAGGGCATGAGTATGCTATTTTGCTCTGTTATTCGGATCCGGTATGAATATGACATGTTGGCATTAAATTAGTTTATCAATGTTTATCATTATGTTATTCCTGTATCTGCCAAAGAAGGAACAGTACCTTGAACTGTATGTAACTTGTTCCGAGGGCGGCGCGGAGCAAGCCTACCACTGCGTATGAGGGTGGCACAAAACCTAAACACCATCCTAGCTCACAACTTGTCCTGATTACGAATGAACGCACCGAAGAATCATTTGTGCGTGTACAACATGCTCACAAGGCCCCGGCGGGTCGCACTAAATTCGCTCAAGGCATACTGCATGTTGAGCTAAACGCCGTGCATATCAGTGTGTGGGACATGGTCGCCATATTGAATGGAAGTTACCCCTTCTCCAACCCCCCTCCCCTCCACTACAAAAAGCAGGGTCTTTAGGGGACAACCACAGCACATCTGGGGCCAGCTACATTCTATATCTGGTCACTGAAATCTCCGCGTCAACCGCCCTGTGCAGCCCACCTCCTCGACTGCCTGCTTCATCAGGGCGCATCGCGTTTGAAGATCCTGGGCTTAGGGTTTAGGGCTCAGGGTTTCGGGTTTAGGTCAAAAATAGCTTCCACCTTCAGCAGAGACAGTCTTCAGTCCTCACCATGGCGTGCAAGATTTTAATGCGCAGGCATCCTTGCAACTGCCCTAGACAGTGCAACGCGACACGACAGGAACGCACACCTGGGTGTTGCCCCTGTAACCCTAAACCCTAAACCTTAAACCCTAAACCCTAAACCCTAAACCCGCCGCCCCAAAGTCAAAGAGTAGGAGGACTTCAACGTTGGTCGTTGGCACTCCCTGGACCCATACTTCTTATAATTGGGATAGCCCCTCTAAGGCCCTTAAAAGGGGTATTAAGTAGGGTTACAAGTACAGTTATAATTGGTTACTTGAAGGTTCATGGTACTTACTAACCAGTTATAACTGTACTTACACTGCTTCCACAGCCTGCTGGCGCAGTGTTGCCACGCAGGCTTGTCCTCGCAGCCCATACTGTTATGGGCACTCACTCTGGGCATTGGCAGTGAAATTCCTGGCCTTTGCCTATAGAGTGCAGGGTTTGAATGGAGGATGCGTGGACTCACTACTGGCCCCTGTGCTTGCATACAGTTCGAGGATCCACTGCCGTCTGGCCTGTGCGCTTCGGCGTCTGTGCGGGCACTGGGGAGTTCATGGATGCTTGCGTGGGGTGGCCAGTCAGGGACCTCGAACCTTTGCTGGAGGGTTGCCGATGACGCTTGCGGAGGCTCCCTGAGACGGCGGAGGGGAAGGCACCCTTTGGCAGCCGTACCCTGCGTGCCATCCATCCATCCATCCATCCACTGTACTTACAACCCTACTTATAATTGGGAGAACCCCTCTAAGGCCCTTTAGGGGTATTATAAGTAGGGCTATAAGTACAGTTATAATTTCTGTTAGTAAGTACCATGAACCTCCAAGTAACAGCATTTCAACCTTGCTGCAAGCCTCCTCCTGATCATCTTACCCCGTGCTGCGAACGGAGTCTTTCGCAAGAAAGAATGGCCAGCGTTTTCGCTTTCATTCCTGTATATTCTATTTCCTCTACTCTTAGACTCTTACATCCATACGAACCTTACCATGATTACCCCGAAGCTACTAGGACGGTATGTCCAAAAGTGCTTTGGCCGCACCTGCAGCAAAGCTGCTGCCTTCTCGCGATCCTGCACTGTAAGCCCTGGTGCATCGAAGGACAGACGCTTCTCCTGAGGCGGCAGATTCAGGGCCCGATGCTTGTAGGCTCGCGCATGAGGCGTCTGAGGCGTCCTAAGTGCCTGTGAGCTACGTGTGGCTTGCTGCTCCGGGCCCATCTGCTTGCAAGTTGGTTGTAAGTTGAAAGCTGCAAAGGAAAACCTGATCCGGAGTGGCTGGCACGAAAGTTGTCCCTTCGGGGATGCGCTTCAGGGTCATGACTCACTACCTTGCGAGACTTTGGAGCACATCCCTCATGGTCATGGAGTCATGGAAACGGGTCCAGCCCACCACGCCCTTTTTGCCTAAACCCCTAAAGCCTAAACTTTACCCAACCCAGGAGAACTCCCATGGGCGCCCCGAACAAACCTCCAAACCAATGCCTGGGTCCAAAGGCCGAAGTATCCTCGCAGCTAAAGAGGGGGGCCACTTTTTGCCCTAAACCCTAAGCCCTGAATCCTAACCCTAAACCCTAAACCCTAAACCCTAAACCCTAAACCCTAAACCCTAAACCCCCAGCCCTCATAGACCTTAAGCCCCCAAGTGCCTGTGGGATCCGGGCCACAGCCGAGGCCTGTAGGGAGGCCTTCACATCTGCGGCCTGGTTGGGTGTGCAGAGCTGCAGTTTAGGGTTTAGGGTTTAGGGTTTAGGGGTTTAGGGATTCGGGTTTAGGGTTTAGGGTTTAGGGAAACCTGTTTTGTGGGATTTGCGGGGTGGACCCTGAGGGCACAGGGTATGACGTAGGCGTTCAGACGTTGGGGACTTCGAAACCAGGAAGCTCGGCTTTAGGGTTTAGGGTTGGGTTTGGAAATCACCCGAAGCCCCAAGCCGTAAACCCTATTTGGAAGCCCTTTGACCTCGTAAGTAGGGTTAGTATGCTGGTTAATGTCGGGACTATTCAAGGGTTTCTAGAGGGATACCAAGTAGACTTACTAAGTCACAAGAGCTTCCAAGTGATCTCTAAACCCTAAACCCTAAACCCTAAACCCTAAACCCTAAACCCTAAACCCTAGACCCTGGATTACAAGGGTGAAAGGCTAAGGTTGAGGATTCATTCAATGCGGCTCGGCAGACGTGGCCCCCAAGGCGCCGTGAATCAACCTTGCATCTTGCAGGCGCAGTAACCCTAAACCCTAGTACCTCAAGACTCAAGCCTGCAAGCCACCGACAACTGCCAGAGCCCTAAACCCTAAACCCTAAACCCTCAACCCTCAACCCTAAACCCTCAACCCTAAACCCTAAACCCTAGCGGCCCTAGACCCGCAGCCCGCAGCCTGACGAAGGTACCTCGCCAAGGGCACTGCCCCATTGGAGGTAGGATCGGCCTCCAAGGAGGCGCCCCGATGGGGTTTAGGACTTAGGGTTTAGGGTTTGGGGGTTTAGGGTTTAGGCTTTGGGGGTTTAGGGTTCAGGGGTTTAGGGTTTAGGGTTTAGGGTTTGGGGTTTGGGGTTTGGGGTTTGGGGGTTTAGGGTTTGGGGGTTTAGGGTTTGGGGCTTAGGGTCATTACGGTTTATGAAGTTTGCTGAGAAGCAACCCTGTCTCCCCAACCATTCAATTTAACGGACATATAGGCGGTTGCTCTAGGTAGTGGGGTGCACCATGCTAGGCATCATGATTCAGGAATGCCATGCTGCCCTCAGAAGCCGCTAACTAGGTCGTGGGCAACAGGGGTCTTCCCCAAAACATGGGTACCCCTTTTATACCCCAAATAGAAAAGAATCCCCTTGAACCCCTCAAAGAGGGTACCCCCCATTTTCGGAAACTAAACCCTAAACCTTTTGCAACGAGCTTGGCTATGCTCCCGCCCGGTTCCCCTAAACCCTCAACCCTCAACCCTCAACCCTCAACCCTAAACCTTAAACCCCAAACCCCAAACCCTAAACCCTAAACCCTAAACCCTAAACCCTAAGCCTGGCCTGGCAAGCCAGCTTCTCCTCGCTCGCGACGAGCTCGGCCTGTGCACCCCAGGCGAGGCGAACGCGGCGACCATCGATCAGGTACCTGGTTGCAACTGAACTGCTAAACCTTAAACCCTAAACCCTAAACCCTAAACCCTAGACCCTAGACCCTAAACCCTAAACCAAAAGGGCCTTGTTTGAAGTCACGTGTGTTGGCCTATAGACAGCACATGGCATTCAGAACTATGGCAGTGTTCCAAAAGCGAACTTACGAACTTGCACTCCCCCGAGCAGCTGCGGCGCAATTAGGGTTTAGGGTTTAGGGTTTAAGGTTTAGGGTTAACGGTTTAGGAAGCTGGTTTAAACAGGATTCGTGCTGAAGCCTTCTGGGGTCTAAATGCGCAGAGAATTGAGACCATGGTCTTGTTCTTCCTCGCGCCGCCCTCAGAAGTAGGGAAGGCTTTGCGACCCTGAATCCCAACCATGGTTTTTTGTTATTGGGCTGGCCTTTCAACACCCTGAAAAGATGTGTATATATATATATATATAGGGTCGCTTGTAAACCCAATTAGGGAAAACAATAGAGTGTCCCAAAATCCAGCTAGGTTACCTCACAAAAGCTTAAACAATCGGCGACCGACCCTAAACCCTAAACCCTAAACCCTAAACCCTAAATAAACCCTAAACCCTAAACCCTAAATGCCAAGTTGACTTGCCAAGTCACAGGCCGGGGGCCAGACGTCGGATGCCAAGCTTCTTCAGCGACGTGTCCGCTTGCACGTGGCGAAGCAAGGCTGCCTCCGGTTTAGGGTTTAGGGTTTAGGGTTTAGGGTTTCGGGTTTAGGGCTTAAGCTCGTTAAGCCTTTATTTCGCATTCACCAGCCCTAAACCCTAGATGGTCTTTGAGGAGTAGCGAAACGAACCCTCATTCTGAACGGAATACGCCTTAAGTAGTTCATGCATACTTTGGGTTTAGGGTTTGGACAATGATCCCCATCAACCCCCGGCACCCTGAATGCAATTTTATCCCTCAAGCCTATAGTGCCTACCACCCCCCCCCCCACCCGCCGGCCCGCCCCACAAAAAAAAAAACATAAACAAATAAATGTACATAGAGATATAAACAAATAAATAAATAAACAAATAAACAAAAACAAAAAAAAAAAAAACAAATAAAGATATATATATATATATATATATGTGTGTGTATATGCATATATATATACATATCTCTCTCTCTAAGTATGTTTGTAGTTGTTCCCTCGAAGCAGAAGGCTCAGGGAGAGCTCGTGGGGTTGAGGAATTGGGGGTGTTCGTTCTTAGGCGGGTACAGTAGACTCAGCATCTTGGAGGTTCAAGGTACTTACTAGCCACTTATAACTGTACTTGTAACCCCACTTGTAGCACCCCTTTTAAGGGCCTTATAGGGGTTATCCCAGTTATAAGTAGGGTTGGAAGTACAGTTATAGTTGGTTAGTAAGTACCATGAACCTTCAAGTAGACCTGCTGATCCCAGCACAGCCTCCATACCATCCAGGGCTGCTGCAGAGCGTGCATGAGGCGCTGCGACTGACCTTCGCGATGCATGATCTGGAGTTTAGGGTTTAGGGTTTAGGGTTTGGGGTTTAGGGTTTAGGGACCCGGAGGCTCGAGAAATGCGCAGGGTAATCTTGGGATGCAAGCAGTGAAACTCTGCTCTAAGACTCTCAAGAAATCTTGATACACCCACACTTTCCGCGGTTGCGCGAAAAAAAGGCCTGCGAACTCTTTGGCCAAGGGGCATTTTTAAACTCCCTCCTGTAGGCATGGGCTGCACATCGTGGCTCTGCGCAGTGCTCACCATTCCTAGTTCATGGTTGGGATAGTATTGAAATTTTAAATTTATGATTTAAGTAATTAATAATTAATTAATTATAAATTAAATGTACATTCCTTATTGGGTTTAAGTACCCTTAAAAATGTAAAATGTTACCCAACTATGACAAAGATTCGAAGGAGCTGCCCCGTGTTCTGCACCGAGGGTGTGCCCAGCCCCCTGCTGCCAACACCTTCAGGGCCCAATGCACTTATACACATTAGGGGATGGTCCTTGAAGCCCTCTGAAAGATATATCCTGCGTATGACCCTCTTGAGTCCATTAAGGGGAAGTAAAGTTGCCGAGCGCATAAACAGGTACAGGATGACGTCTGCTTCTGACAGGTTCTCAGCCCCACCTATTCGCATTGATCTCGAGTGCGCCATGGCCTCTGTCACGACCAAGGCAGGTGTTTGCCGAGGCGAAGTGACGGGAGACTTGGGGCACACAAAGGGTGACCGGGGCCCGATCGAAGCGGAACGCTGCGGCCCAATGTCGCGAAAGCTGAGTGCTGGTGACCTTGCGAGCACAGGGGCGCCACGCTGCGTCTGCACAGCCGTGGGTACTGCGGCTCTTGCGGATTGCACCGGCAGGCTGGGCTGTGTTTGCACAGCGCTTGGGGAGGGCATCTGGAGCTTTGCGATTGAAGCTCGGCTGGACCTGTTGGGTGGTGTTGCAGGCCCGGCTGCCTTCACCCGAACAGATGCTGGTCCTTTGGCCTGGGGGGTGCCAGCCTCTGTACTGCCTGTAGTCGTGGATATGGACATGCTGGGCGAGGCCATCTTTCCCTCGGACAGGCTTGCCTGCAAAGGGAAGCAGATGGCTCCGTTAGGCAAGGCTGTTGCAGAGGCTGCAGGCGAGCCCAGCATCTGGCACGGCAGCGCCGTGAACGTCATGGGCGCCCTTGCACGGCGCAGCGGTGAGTGCGTTGGGGACGTGATTCGACGCGTCTGGATCATGGGCGACCATGAGGCCACGTGTACGGATCCCGGTGATGACCGCATGGCTGCTTGGCACCATGGGTCTCAAAATCCTCACTACCTTGAGGCTACAACTTCGGCATGCAATCCATTCGATGTCGGCATAATCACAAGCTTGCACTCCGCAGGACAGTATTTCATGTCTTCCACTCTATACCCCCTCCCCACTGGCCCGCACTGCCCCAAAGAGAAAATTCAAAACACACAGTGCGCACCGGTTGCAAAGTCCTTGGCCTCTTTCGCCTTCTTGTCTTTTTTGTGTTCCTAGCAAAGTGCGACACAAAGCATTCCCGCGGCAGCGGCTCGTAACGCAACATGGTGTGAGATGTGATGAGGAGGTGCTTGTGGGGAGGGTAACCCGGTACGTGCTTGTAGTCGCATCCCACGCAGAGTGCCTTTTCTTTCTGCTTGGCCTTGCCGGCCATGGCCTCTTCTTTGGTAGGCTTTGTGCCATCCTTCCCGGCGGCCTCTGACAGTTCTGATA